GATCAGACACCTGTGTGTGTGCAAGCAGGAGCTGGCGGCCTGCTCTTCCCAGCCGCAGATCAGACACGTGTGTGTGTGTGCAAGCAGGAGCTGGCGGCCTGCTCTTCCCAGCTGCGGATCAGACACCTGTGTGTGTGTACATGCGTGCGTGCGTGCGCGCGCACACGTGCGTGTGTGTCTGTGTTGATACTGGGGCTTCAACTCAGGGCCTAAACTTTTGCTTAGCTTTTTTAGCTTATAACATGTGCTTCCCCTCCAGCTGGTTAATTGGAGAGGAGCATCTCAAGAATTTACCCGCCAGGGCTGGCTCAGAGCCACGGTCCCTGGGTCTCGGGCCCCCCTGGGGTTTCAGGCATGAGTTACCAGCACCATGAGGCCCTTCTGCCCCAGGCAGCAGCGGGTCCAGGCGGCCGCCGGCTAAGGGCCACGCAGGCCATGCTGGACCCGGGAGGACTCGGGGGAGAGGGGACACCAGCATCCCCAGAGCGGGGCTGGGGCTCTGTCCACGCAGCCACACGCTTACCAGGGATCCTCCCCAGCCCTCAGTGCCCCTGAGTCTCAGAGAGACCCCCCCACCCCCGCCGGCTGCGCCCTGAGCCGAGCTCGCTTCCCGGAGCTGGAATGTTGTTCGTCATCTGAACATTTCCACAAACCACAGATTTCCATTTTTATAAGGGCCAGGAGAAAATGGCTTGAGTCCGGCAAGCACCAGGGACGAGCTGGCCAGGGCTCGGGCCTCGCTGCCCTGCGCCGACCCCTCCCTCACCCCGGACCTATTCCTGCTGACCATCTCCCCTCTGCCCCTTCCTCCTGCTCCGACGCCCCGGAGGCCAGGAGCCCCCACCCCACCCCCGCTCTCCCTCCATGACGGTGATAAGCAGGTGGCCGCACAGGACCACGCAGGGGTGTGCAAGGCCCCCTCACGGGCCCCTCCCCTGTCCCGCAGTGGCTCTGGGACACTCAGGGGTGTGCAAGGCCCCCTCACGGGCCCCTCCCCTGTCCCGCAGTGGCTCTGGGACACTCAGGGGTGTGCAAGGCCCCCTCACGGGCCCCTGCCCTGTCCCGCAGTGGCTCTGGGACACTCAGGGGTGTGCAAGGCCCCCTCACGGCAGTGGCTCTGGGACACTCAGGGGTGTGCAAGGCCCCCTCACGGGCCCCTCCCCTGTCCCGCAGTGGCCCGGGACACTCAGGGGTGTGCAAGGCCCCCTCACGGGCCCCTCCCCTGTCCCGCAGTGGCCCGGGACACTCAGGGGTGTGCAAGGCCCCCTCACGGGCCCCTCCCCTGTCCCGCAGTGGCCCGGGACACTCAGGGGCCGGTAATGGACGCAGGTCACACGGCCCCAGGTCAGTGCACTCAGCCCGCTCTACTGTCGGGAGCCCTGAGCCAATGGAGCCGTGGCGTGTGTAGAGCCGGCTCCGGCTCCGGCTCCGGCTCCGGCTCCGGCTGGCGTACGGGCGTCAGGAAGTGCCGGTGGTCCCAGTCTCCATGTGTGCTGGCGACCGGGCTGATGGACGGCTCAGAGCATGGCCTCGGGATGAAAGGACCCCAAGCTCAGCTCCACTCTGGCTCAGACCATGTCTGCGTGCGCTCCTGGACTTCAAGGCTCACGCGGGGAGAATGGCCCTGATGTCCACAGCGGGCGGTGCCGCTCCTGCTCAGTTCTGCACACGGTCCGTCGCGGGCCGCCTGGCTGCTGTGCGTCCTTCTTTTCCTTCTCTGGGAATGCTTCTGCGCCTCTCCTCCTGCGGGTGGCAGGGTAGAGGGGCATGGTCACGTCCAGGTGTCCACTCTGAGGGTTGGCCGTGGCCTGCGGGTCCCCACAGTGACCATCTGCTCTGTGGGGCCACCAGTGGGCACAGCTGAGCACACATAACTGTGCACACACACACATGACCAGTGAGCAGAGCTGAGCACACATAACTGTGCACACGCATGTCCAGTGAGCAGAGCTGAGCACACATAACTGTGCACACACACACATGACTGGTGAGCAGAGCTGAGCACACATAACTGCACACACACATGAGCAGAGCTGAGCACACATAACTGCACACACACATGAACAGAGCCGAGCACACATAACCACACACACATGAACAGAGCTGAGCACACATAACTGCACACACACATGAACAGAGCTGAGCACACATAACTGCACACACACATGAGCAGAGCTGAGCACACATAACTGCACACACACATGAACAGAGCTGAGCACACATAACTGCACACACACATGAACAGAGCTGAGCACACATAGCTGTGCACACACACACATGGCCAGTGAGCAGAGCTGAGCACACATAGCTGTGCACACACACACATGACTGGTGAGCAGAGCTGAGCACACATAACTGTGCACACACACATGGCCAGTGAGCAGAGCTGAGCACACATAACTGCACACACACAAGCACACACACACACACACACAGGACCAGCTCGGGTTGCAGGACTGTGGCAGGAAGAAGGGGGTCGCAGGGCTATGGTGGGGGTAGGGGGGGCTCGGATGTCCTGAGGGCCAGGCCGGGCGGGACTCTGCGGCCCCACTCAGGCCCCACAGGGTCTCTTGGCCGCTGTTGCTCCTCGGGCTTCAGAGCCCAGAGTCCTCTACGTGACCCACTTCCCAGGCTGGCTGCGCTGAGCGCTGGTTAGTGTCCTGTGGAGAGGGTCGGGCAGCCTGGCCCCGCCTCTGCCCTGCACAGCCCAGCTCCAGGCAGGGCCGGGAGGCCGGGGCTGGGGCGCAGAGCGGACGGCCGGGCGGCAGCGGCCTGCTCATCAGCCTCAGCCACCAAGCACGCAGGTTCTTGCCTGGCAATCTTGTGCCCTGGCCCAGCTCAGCCTCTCAGGACGAGGTCTGGGAGCCTCCTCGCTCGGCAGCAGCTGGCGAGAGCCTTTATTCAGGAGGAGCCCGCCCCGCCCCCAGCCCAGCCACTGCCTGGGACCCAGCATCGGACAGACAGATCTGTGACCCTCGGGCTGCGTCCACCGTGACCTTCACTGCCCTGGGCACAGGAGGGCCAGAGAAGACCGAAGAAGGACCATCAGAGCACAGAAACACATGCTGGGGCACACACGAGTCCCCTGCCACCCCAGGAACACACACACACACACACACACACTCCAGAAATGCACACACACAGTGTTCTGTAGAGAGCAGAGAGGCTGGCAAAGGCACCCTGGGAACATTTGCATACACCTGCACACCCGCACGTGCACACACACACACATGTCCATGGCCCAGCCAGGCCCTCAGAGCTCCTGTCTTCCGCATGAGGGGGCGAGGATGAGACCCAGGGCTGCCCTGCCCCGCCAGGCTGGGGCTGCCGGGGTCTGCGGTGATGGCCGGGCAGGGTGGGGCCGCCCCGTCACTGCTGTCTGGAAGTCCGTGCTCTGGAGAGCCAGGTCTGTCTTTCCAAACCGCAGTTACGCAGCGGGGGCCGGGCGGCATGTTTACAGTGGGGCGGCGGAAGAGCGCCTGTAAACACTGGAGAATTGCAAAATCAGTGCCTGGCATCCAAGACATCGGAGCACCCCGAGTTCTGGAGGGCCGAGTCTCTGCGCAGGACGCCGCCCCCCGGCCCGCACCCTGGGGCCGGGAGCCAGGCAGAGTGGACGGGGCCAGGGGGCCGCTCTCCCTGGGAGTTCCCTGATGTCCAGGAGCACTGGACAGACGGCAGCCCCACCCTCCTGCCGGCCCTCCCCGAGCCCCCAGCCTGCAGCCGGCCTTGCTTCCTCGCACGGCTGTGCTCGTGGGGACAGAGGGAGCCCTCTGCGCAGGGCCCCGGGAGGACTTGCTATGTGGTGGCCCTGGGTGGCCCTGGGTGGCATGGGGGGCAGGGAGCCCCGGCCCCACACCTGGTGGTGGGGACGGAGGTGAGGCCCTGTGACTCCCGAGGCAGAGACTGCAAGGGCTCTGTGGCCGCCTGCTGTGGGGAGAGGCAGGACTCCCACACCTCGGGCAGAGGGCGGCTCTGCGGCCCCGAGTCAGGCCCGGCTTCTGTTCCCTTTTGTGGTGCTATATTGCCAGAGCATGGTGCTCTGTCTCGTGGTCAGTGTGTGGTGCTGTCTCGTGGTCAGTGTGTGGTGCTGCTCGTGGTCAGTGTGTGGTGCTCTGTCTCGTGGTCAGTGTGTGGTGCTGTCTCGTGGTCAGTGTGTGGTGCTCTGTCTCGTGGTCAGTGTGTGGTGCTCTGTCTCGTGGTCAGTGTGTGGTGCTCCACCATGTGGTCAGTGTGTGGTGTGCTCTGTCACGTGGTCAGTGTGTGGTGCTCTGTCACGTGGTCAGTGTGTGGTGCTCTGTCTCGTGGTCAGTGTGTGGTGCTCTGTCTCGTGGTCAGTGTGTGGTGCTTCGCCATGTGGTCAGTGTGTGGTGCTCTGTCTCGTGGTCAGTGTGTGGTGCTCTGTCACGTGGTCAGTGTGTGGTGCTCTGTCACGTGGTGAGTGTGTGGTGCTCTGTCACGTGGTCAGTGTGTGGTGCTCTGTCATGTGGTCAGTGTGTGGTGCTCTCTGTGCTGAAAAACAAAGCAACCTTGCTGCTGTGAGCCTGCCCTGTGCTGGGCTGTTTCCACCGGGCCAGAGCCCACCGGGGAGCTTCCTCCCAGCCGGACGCTGCGGGCAACACCAGGAGGGCCTGGCTTTGCTGCCCAGTGTGATTGCGCTGAGCTGAGTGTGGGGTCTGCCTGTGAGCCAAATGAGTGAGCCCTGCATCTCACGCCATGCATCCTTGAGGGGGGAACCCGGCAGGGCCCAAGCGTGGACCCCAGCTGCTCCTTCTCCCCTTGGCCACCCTGCTCGGAGTGGTCAGGAGCCCAGACACCTGCAGGAGAGGCTCAGGGCCTGCAAAGCAAGTCAGTGTCCAGAAGAGCTGCCCAGCTCAGGACGGGGCCGGATGCCCACCAGGAGCCTTCCTAAGGGTGCTGGATGCTCCAGTGTGCACACGTGCATGCCCACACCGCCTTGCAACCCAGATCTGTGCCACATGAGTGCACACGAGGCACACTTCGTGAGTTTGCAGTCCCACACACTTTCATGTCCATAGGCAGGCCGGAGCGCGTCCAGGCCAGGAGATGGCCCGGGGGCGCTGGCCAGGAGCCCCGGGAGAGGACCGAAGTTCCAGACGCAGGGCTCCCGCAGACGCTGACCCAGCTCGTGGCTCAGCATCCTGGCCTCTCCCAGAGCCAACAGACGGATAGAAGACTAAACAATTTTGTCCACTTCTCATTTCCCGAAAAATCCTCTCTGCCCAAATAAATAGATGTGTTCCGCTGCCTGGAGGACTGGTCATGCTGGCCTCGCTCGGGAGGCTGGGGAGCCCGGGAGCAGCCGTGCCCCGCCCCGCCCCACACACAGCTGGCGTGCCCCTGCTCTGAGAATTGTCCTTCCTGGGGCCCAGGCACCACTGGAGGCCGAGTCCCCTGGAAGTGGAGGGGCCATGGGCAGGGCTGAGGCTCACGGTCCTCATGCCGCTGAGGCTCCTGATGGGCGGCTGTGTGTGCGTGGCGGAAGCGTGGCGGAGGCCCGCTTCATCCGCTTCCCAGAGGCGTTTGGTGGAACCAACAATGCAGCGAGTACGTGAAGTAGAGCAAGGCAGGTGTGCATGCAGCCGAGCCCAGCATGCTCCGAGACCTCGGAGGGCAGCGCTGCACTGTGGCTGACCTCCACTGGCCCGGTCAGCGCTACTGCACACAGAGAGGACAAGCGGACGAGGATAGGAAACCCAGAAAGAGGCACCCCGAAGCTGCCTGCCCGCCCCCACTGAGCCCCAAGGCTCTAGAGAATGGGTCAGTTATGGCTTCTAGATGTTTCTAGAAGACACCATGTTTGAATCACTGGTCCTTGCCAACCATGGGCTCGGCAGGATCATTATCTCAAGTGGCAGGCAGATGTTTTCGTGCAGGAAACGCAGGGAAAGCAAAGCAACCAAACTCCTCGGAGGTAATTCGGGAGAAAAGCATAGATGGCCTGGAGTGTGGAGACTGGAGGACACGGAGCAGGCCATGGGGACCTCATGGCTATGGAGAATGGAGGACCCAGTGATGGTCATGTGGACCTCATGGGGTTGGAGACCGGAGGACACCGAGCAGGTCATGCAGTCCGTGTGGGGGCGGAGACCGGAGGACCCAGAGCAGGAAGTGGCAATAAATCCACGGATGGACAGAGGGCAGTACCGGCTGGTCCCCCAGGGGCTAGGCGGGGTCTCCGGATAGCATGAGTTTCCTTTGTAACAGATTCGGAGATGGTGAGCCATGAGCCGAACAGAGAACCCACTCTGCAGCAGCTCAGTAGAGAGCCAGAGCCCCTGCTCTGCCCTGGGTGTGGGTCACAAACTCCGCCCCAGCTGGAGAGAGGCGATGGAGCTTCTGCAGCGCGTGGGCCCTGGGGACGGCTGCGTGGAAAACCACCCAACACGTGTGAGAATCACAACGGCCTCATTTGTGGGTCTGAGGTTGCCCCACTGGAGGGAACAGAGGTGGCCGGGCTCAGGGCAGTCTCGTGAAATGTCACACGTGGGTCCGGCGTGCAAGCCTGGGCCACAGCCCCTCTGCTCTGCCTCCTCCCGCTGGGAAACGCGGCCGCTCCTGGGGGCTCCAGACCTCTTGTCGGGGAGCCAGCAGCAAGTCTGCGTGGCATTGCCTGGTGGGTGCCGGTCTCCCCGTCCTGGACCGCTCCCGTCCGTGTCCATGGCTGGCCCTGGGCCTGCCCCTGGAGGGCGTGCAGGGTGCTCTGTGGGCTCTGATCCCCCTGCCTCTCGGCCCGGGCACTGGGGGCTGCAGGCTGGCGTGCTCTCCCTGGCTGCTCTCCAGGCCCGGGCAGCAAGACCTGACTGAGGTAGAGTCCCTGCCCGTGGTCTCCAGTGGCCACCCAGATGGAAAGTAGCCAGCCGTCTGCAGACTCCGGTCTCCGGAGACCCCAAGGCCGCCATCCGGCCAGTGCGGTGTCCATTGCTTACTGTGGAGCTGGGCGGGGGTCACGGGGGACAGATGCTTGCCCTTCCTGGGCATAAGAGGGACAGGAAGGGGGTGGCGTGAGCGGGTGGGGGGCGGGGGGAGGGCGCCTCCCAGGACCGGGAGGGAGCAGCGGGGCAGTGGGTGATGAGGGAGAGTGTGCACATGGGTCAGTGGCTGGCGTGGCTCTGCCCCGTGGCCATCTCCAGCCTCGGGACACACACTGGCACTGGGCAGCAAGGGCCAGGTCGGACCTAGCCCGGCAGTCCCAGCCGCCTCCTCCAAGCCCTGGTGCGTCCAAGGTGGAGCCCTGGCTGTTCTTGGCATTGGTGCCACAGCCCAGGAGCCCCTTATAAGGCCGAGCTGCCCGGGTGCCTGGTGGCCTTGGGACCAGGGACAAGGGCAGCCGGTCCCGCCGGTGCCCCTCCCCTGGTCTTCCCACAGGTCCCTCGGAGCCCAGTGAGTCCCCAACTCCCTTCACGCCACAGCCCCGCTGTGACCCGCAGCCAGGGTCTGGGCTGGTGTGTGCACACTCTGACCCCAGCACCCGGGTAAGCCAGACCGCGCTGTGTGTGCATACTCACAAACACAGCTCTAATGTGCCTCTGCCAGTGGCCAGCAAGCGTGGGGCGGCCAGCTGCTCCGCTCTTCCTCCCTGCCCCAGGGTCTCAGCACTCCCGCCTCACCCAGTACTTCCTCTCTGGTCTAGGTCCTCCCGCCTACGGCTCTGGGTAGCTGTAGAGTGACCCCCGGGCCCTGCCATGCAGACCTGCTGCTCCCTCAGGAGGGCGGGCGCTGCTGCCCTCCCCCACTCCCTAAGGCCGCCTGCTCCTTGGGGGTCACCGGTCCCTCCCTCCCACCTGCCCTCTGCATTCCACACATTTTTCCCAGGCCCGGGCAGGCCTCTGGGCTGGGGGAGGGAGTGGCGGGGCCACCTCCTCCCGCCCCTGGGGAGGCCCGCCGGCCTCACCTACCCCTGCCCAGAATGGCTGCTCCCGAACAGGCCTGGGGCAGGCCTGCGCCCGCTCACCAGGGCACAGTCCACACATGGCCCGTCCCCAGACCCAGGGAACGCCTGCCAGGTGGCAGGGGCGGCGGCAGGCGCCGGCTGCGGGGGGCGGCCACGCCAGAGCAGACAGGGGGCCAAGGAGCAGCTCACTGGACAGGCCGGCAGGACAGGGCCTGCCCGCAGCCGGGCCTCCGCTCCGCTCCGTGCTCCCCCAGACATCCTGTACCCAGCCTACGTCCTAACCCCCCCTGGGCCGCAGCTCCAGCCGCCCTGAGCCCACACGGTCCTGCTAGCCTGCTGGACTGTGGCACCGCTGGCCGAGGGGTGGACGGTGGTGCTCACAGGCCTTTCAGATCTGCACGAGGCAGAGGCCTGCCATCCTGAGATGCACGATAGGTCTCAATACACGGATACTTGGTGGAGACCCACAGGGAGCTGTGTGAGGTGCCACGCGACTGAACTGTGTGGAGAGCTGTCACGTGACAGCACGTGCAGGGAGTCACGTGAGAGCGTGTGCAGGGTGTCAGGTGACAGTGCGTGCAGGGTGCTGACTGTGTTCCAGGACTGGGGTAGATGATGCAGTCTGGCTACAGCGGGATCCACCTGGCTGTAGAGACTAACTTTCCTCCGTGGGCTGTGGGCTTCCTGTGGGCTGTGATCCTCCCCGTGGGCTGTGTGCTCCCCGTGGGCTGTGGTCCTCCCCGTGGGCTGTGTGCTCCCCGTGGGCTGTGATCCTCCCCATGGGCTGTGATCCTCCCCGTAGGCTGTGGTCCTCCCTGTGGGCTGTGATCCTCCCCGTAGGCTGTGGTCCTCCCTGTGGGCTGTGGTCCTCCCTGTGGGCTGTGGGCCTCCCCGTGGGCTGTGGGCTCCCCGTGGGCTGTGATCCTCCCCATGGGCTGTGATCCTCCCTGTGGGCTGTGGGCTCCCCGTGGGCTGTGGGCTCCCTGTGGGCTGTGGGCTCCCCGTGGGCTGTGGACTTCCCATGGACTGTGGGCTCCCCGTGGGCTGTGGGCTCCCCGTGGGCTGTGGGCTCCCCGTGGGCTGTGATCCTTCACGTGGGCTGTGTGCTCCCCGTGGGCTGTGGGCTCCCTGTGGACTGTGGGCTCCCCGTGGGCTGTGGGCTCCCCGTGGGCTGTGGTCCTCCCTGTGGGCTGTGTGCTCCCCGTGGGCTGTGGGCTCCCCGTGGGCTGTGGGCTCCCTGGGGGCTGTGATCCTCCCCGTGGGCTGTGGGCTCCCCGTGGGCTGTGGGCTCCCCGTGGGCTGTGGGCTCCCCGTGGGCTGTGGGCTCCC